TAAAAAAAGCATTTTCGAACGAGTAACGAATACTATTTTGCTGCTCGAGAACCTCTAATCGAGTGATGAAAATGTTATTTTAAGGCTAGAAGATGGAAAAATGTATAAGTATTATTACGGAAATCCTGCTAATATCTAACTTTAATTGTGCTAACACAGTAAGAATTTTAATATTATTTGTTGTGAAAAGTTTTACAAGCAGTTTTGAAAACTACGTGTATTGAATACAGAATATAGTTTTGTGCGCGTTTGGATTCAAATTGTAAAATAGCATTTTGATTTTAAGATTACTTTGCAAACATTGCTTTAAAAAACAAATTCAAAAATCATGAATGTTTCTCAAAATCGAATTCGTATATATGCACTGTAACTGTGAGAAACAAAATAGGTAATATTTAGGAACATAATAGTACAAAAATTTACGAAAATTAATTGTAGTCATCAGTAGCGTATAAGTATGGAGATTTTAATTACCAGAACAAAATTGTAATTGTCAAAACTTTTTGTAGGTACTGACCTACAAAATGATGTGACAGTTCCAATTTTCTTATTCATATTAGATACAGTCAATATTTTTATTTTGAACGTCTAGTCGCGCTTGGGTCTTCAGAAACATTTGTACATGGGTAAAGTGAATTTTCAATAGTGCTTTTACAAAAAAACTGTAATTACATTTTATGAATTCAATGACAAGAATTTTCAACAGAGTATGAATAACAAGAGAAGGATAGTACCTATGAGGAAATGTAACGATACAGGCTCTTCTCCAGAGCCGGGCGCAAGGGACGCTGGACGCAATTACGCCTCATAACTTCTCAGAGTACAATTCGCAACGTAACGTTAGCGCAATGTGTTTGCTATACCGGCTTTGGATCGAGAGAGAACAGCTCCACCAGAGATACGTAGGGAGATTGCCAGTGTCTATATTAAAGGGTGTGCTGATGTTTCGGCGCTGATTTAAGCGCCAATCCATCGTGGCCAGCAGAAGAACCATGCACACGTTTTCTATCGGCTGGCAGCTTGTAGGCTCGGCTTGCGGGGAGAGATAAGGGGAGATAAGTGAGGAAGGCATGAAAATCTAAATGTGTGCATCGGTGACGGAGAGAGAAGAAGCTAAACCTATATGTATATGCATACAATGGGCTATATATCTATAGCTATAGTTGTACACTGCTCATACGGAAAAGAGCTGCGCGAAATACTTTTCTCGCTTTTCCTCCCTGAAAGAAAGATAAGCTTTTTAAATGCAGTTGATCATTCGTTTAACTATAAAAACAAAAACATAATTGTCAGGTTATTAACAATTTTTTTTTTCATTTTTAAAAAAATGACAAGCTCAACGCAATTAGTATATTATTTTGTTCATTTGTTTTTTTCTCAATTGTTCTTCACTTTTATGGTAAGTGAAATTATTAAATATTAAATAAAGGCATTCACCACAACGACTCGGTACGCTTAAATATTTTTTGTACTAAGTAATGTTATTTACTAACATACTGAGAACCTTTACCCGAACGCCCCATTGCACTGATATCTTTATTTTGTTAATTTATATTTTTTCACCATTAATACATGGCTTAACGGCAGTAATACGATAAAGCTTCAACTACATCTCAATCTTCGAAACTTTACGATAAACATATGTAAGTTTTAGTCATCCCATAAATCAAGCTTTGTTAGCTCAGATGGCTAGAGCAGGAGAATGAAATTTAGTTTTGCGGCTCCGGGTTCTAATCTCACTCAGAGCAATTTTTTTTTTTTTTTATTACAACATTACTTTAAATATTTTATACTTTTTCTTATTATTACTTACGAATTGTGTTTTACCAGTGACTAAAAAAATTTTTTTTTTTTCAATATTGGTATAC